AGTCAAAGGTCATTGTTGGAACAAATCCTTTTAGGGATGTTTTATAAACTGCTAGTATTCTGCAGTGATTGTATTCCTTATTCTTCTGTATCAATAATGAAATAAGGTCCATTTAGATTAATTGTTCTTTCTTCTATTCCTAGCCACCTGGTTATGTCTCTCATATATTAGCAGTAATAAAATATTCAAACTTGTTTAATCTGTGAGACTTTCAGCACTTCCATTACCTCCAACTTTTATTTAGTTTCTTTCTACAATGGCAATTATATTGGCTTTTAATTTCATATGCTGTATTATAGCATATTATACCAAAGTTATTTACAAGATTGAATATAACAGTAGGAATTGAGTACAATGCAGGGGCACAAAGATGATGTGAGGCCTGGAGCATCTCCCATATGAGGAAAGGCTGAGAGACCTGAGATTGTTCAGACTGAAGAAGAGAAAAATGAGAAGGGAATCTCATGACTGTGACTATCTGAAAGGGTCAAGTCAATTTGGGCAGACTCTTTAGTGCCATGCAGTAATAGAACAAGGGGCAACAGGCAGAAACTGAAACACAGGAAGTTCCATACAAACAGAAAAAAGAACTTTATGGTCAGAGTGACAGAGCACTGGAACTGCGATTAATTGTATTTTCACATTGTGTAGTTACATTTCTGTATTGAATTAACTGATACCACATTGGACTAAGTACAGTAATACACGTGTAAATATATGTCTGGAATTAATATATTTTATCAAAACAACCAAACCTTTTCACTTAATGCAAAGAGGGCCTTAAAAATCCATGTCAAACTATGGAGAAATTTCGATAATATTTTATGAAATATGTTTTGTACATTAGTAAAGCAGGTGACTGAATATCTTCCTACTCCCAATAAAGAAGTTTGTCTTGTAGACAAAGGCAAGGAAATATATACAGTTCTAGTATGCTCTCCACTATGTATTCATAACTTCTGAGATTTTTATTGCCTGAATTTTATCTAAGTAGCTGTTATATATATTAGAAGTTTTGAAATGTAGCTGTGTATTGCTAAAGGTTCACAAATTGGACCACACTGGAGAATGAAAGGAAGAAAACAGTTTGTTGCATTTGCTCTTAATAGGGAATGTAAAAATGCTTCTAGTTGTTTATAAAATTTTCTTAAACTCATGATATAGGATTTTTTTATTTGCTTGTTAAATATAGCGCCTCCAGAAAGAGACATACGGAAAATTTCCTGAACTCTAACACACTAACATTTTGACCCTCTTCAGTATGTATGCTTGCCAGAGGGATCTGCTGTGTGCTGCAGTTTCTGAGAGCTGAAAGGCTTACATGCACTGCATCCATTATACTCCAGATGTAATCAGCAAACTTACCTCGTCTTTCTCCTTACAATTTCCACGTAGGGACTGTTTCAGTTTTCCCTATTTTTCTGTTATGTGAGCCCATTAACTTTATTTTCTTTGCTTGTATTGTTGTGTTACTCTGGTTTTCATACCACTCTTTTTGAGTTCTGGTTCATTCCAATAGTTTTGGTTTCTGACAGAGTTCCGGAGGGGCCAGATTGACAGTGTAGTTGGTATTTAGAGCCTCTGTAGAAAACTCTGTGCCACCTAGGGACATCCAGAGTGTTAGGTTCTTTGGATGATACTTAGGGCAGTTGAGAGAAAATTCTGCTAGGGAACTTAGCTAAAAAGTATCCATCCAAATTATTTCACCACCATATACACCTGACAGGTTAGTACATAAGTTCAACTCTGTGTACAGGAGAGGTGTACATATGCAGTTCAACTTCGGTATACACGAGACAGGTATACAATGAACACACACTTCATTAAGTCATTAAATAAAACCATCCTCACAAGATAACAAAATCAAAGAATGACGGATGTTGGAAAGGGCCTCTGTGGATCATCTTGTTCAACTGCACCTCTTATGCAGGACCATCTTGAGCTACTTGCTCAAGACTATGTCCTGATTACTTCTGAAAATCTCCAAGGAGAAGGACTCTACAACTTCTCTGGGCAGTTGTGCCAGTGTTCAGTCACTCAGAATAATTGATTCATGGAGTTGTTTCTCCCTCAGGGTAGGACTTTACATTTCTTCTTGTTATCTTCATGAAGTTCCTGTAAACTCTTTTCTCTAGCCTATTAAGGTCCCCCTGGACAGCAGCACAACCCTCTGGTTTATCTGCCACTCTCCCCAGTTCTATGTCATCTGAAAACTTGCTGAGAGTACACTTTGCCCTAACATCCAGAACATTAATGAAGATCTCAAATAGGACTGCACCCAGTATTGATCCTTAGGGTACACTTTTAGCTACTGGCCTCCAAACAGGTTTTGTGCCACTGATTACTACCTTCTGTGTCCTATCCATTCAGCCAGTTTTCGGTCCCTCTCACTGTTTGTTCATCTGTCCCCTACATTAACAGCTTCTCATCAAAGATCTTCAAGGAGACAGTGTCAAAAACCTTACTAAGATCTAAGTAGACAATATCTACTGCTTCTCTCATCTGCCATTCCAGTGTTCCATCGTAGATTATCAAGCTGATAAAGCATGACTTCTCCTCGGTGAATCCATATTGATTACTCACTGTCTTTTTCTTATCCTTCATGTGCCTGGAAATTGTTTCCAGAACTAGTTGCTCCATCACATTCCCATGAACTGAGCTGAGACTTACAAGCTGTTGTTTAACCAGGCAGGCAGCTAAGTACCACACAGCTGTTCACTCACTCCTCCCCAGTGGAACTGAGGAGACAATTGGGAATTATTAGAGGCATTCCAGCATGTTGACAGCCTGGCAGGGATTTGGGGGAACATGATTTGGGGGAACATAATTTGGGGGAACAGCGAGTTTAAACAGTCAGAGATATTCTCCTTTTATAGAACCAGCATCCGAAATTACATGTGGTAAAGGACATTCTGTTGCAATGAAAACTTGAATGCTCCTCAGAAAGATTTCTGACTCTAGCATTTCACAATGCCACTATTGCAAAGAAGTGTTTTAAGCAAACCACATAAATTAGAATATTAGTCCATTTTCCTCTGAGTAGTGAAGGAAGACTATATATATATATATTTTTTTTTTGCTTGGTCCTTTAGAGAAATGGAATTACACTTAAATATTTGCCTGATTGTTTGTTTTCCAAGATCCTTCTAGGAATTCTAAAATCATGAGATAATATTTATTTGTGATTATATTTACATCAGTATTTGAATGTGAAATTAGCTAATCAATACCTTCCTATGTATTACTCACAGTCATCCAATTGTGTACTCCTTTCTCAACCAAGAGATTGATGGGTTGTTTACACCTTCTTCCTATTTCCAAGGGATAGGTTTTTCAAGAGGACGAAAATAGATCATTATGAAAAAAAATGACTTAGGTGACTTTAAATGAGGTTCTCTAGCCATAGATAAGTACTCCAAGGAGAATCTTTCTGGAATAATGTAATGTACAGTACTAAAAATGTTTTCATTGACATACTGGATGGTTTTGAATTGCACGTACAGGTAAACTTGCTCTTGAGCAGCTTAAAACCAGCAAGAGTGATCCATATGCAATGGATACATTCTTTGCTTTGCATCATGCTTAAACAACATTCAGTTTAAACAGATGGGTTCTTGAATGAAATAATGAATTATAACTTTATTATAAAGAGGCAGGTTTGATTGATTTCCTTAATTTCCTTGATTGTCCATAAATTAGCTGGATATCTAAAATCATTTCATTACAGAATTTACATTTCTAAGAATATTTTACAATTTCCTAGTTACTTTTATCTTTCTTCTTACATCTGTGTTTTCTCTAGAAAATTGGACTGTAGAGTTTTTTTTAATGAAGTTTTTCACTCTTATTCTCTGCTATTAAGCATTTCTGTGACCTCTCCTATAAACGAAAAAGGAGACACATTAGAAATCTAAAGAAAACGAGAAAAAAATCACCATCTTTGACATCCTGCCATTTCTGATACACATAAGATTGTTGTAAGTCAGCAGTCAGCTCACAGAGTCTCAGAATGGAAATAAGAAGAGTGTTTTCTCACTGCTCTCTGCAGGATCGTCTTTCAGCAGATCAAGGGTCAAGTGCATTTACAAAACAGCAAGAGATAAATCTTTCATTGTCTCACTGTATTCCTGAGGAGTGTTCAACTTTACAGACCCACTTGCTGCCCACTTGGAAACCCAAATGCAAAACAAAACTAAACTAAACTAAACTAAACTAAACTAAACTAAACTAAACTAAAAGCCTCTCATGTAATTTTGTCTTTGAGACTAATTAAAGTGCATAGTGAAATGTGGGAAGCATAACAGTTTTCCCTAGTCTCCAGCTGTCTGATGTATCGGCAGCAGGAGAGGTAATGAATTTCAGGATGGAGCCCAAACTATGATAGTTTCAGGTAATGCAGAAGTAACATTTTGGCCTTGGAGTGTGGGGAATGCAGACTAAGGTAAACAATTCAGCAGTCTGTTAGCTTAAAACACCCTTTATTCTCTAATTGGAAGGATCATAAGATTCATTTTAGTAAAGGTTGCAAAAAAGGTTACCTATTCCACCTGAAAGTATGCTCAAATCTGCCAAGCAGACGTGTCATGGTGCTGTGTAAAAGTTTTCCTTTTGTCCTATGGCATTATCCGTTCACCCCCTGGAAAGTGCTGTAATGGTTTCAGTCAGCATATTTGTTATCTAGTATCACTGGTGAATTCTTAGAGATTTTATTGCATATGTGATTTTGCTGTTGTCCTCAAATGTCCAGTTAGGGCAGTAATGTCAGAAGGAGTTTAATAAAATGGAGACAGAAACCTTCAGTCAGAGAATAAGGCTGACACATTCTAAAAATTGTGTAGTTAGTGGTAAAATTATCATGAAGAGCTGCAGAATACATAGAAAATACAGTGTTTGGTTTTCTATCTCTTGCTTGGGATGAAAATTATGACTTAAAATCAGTGGTATGTACATCGGCATTTTTTTCATTTCAGACTTTTATTTCTATTTTTATTGCATTACAGAAACTCAACTTACTGTATGAAAGTGTCCATTTCGCTGACGGTGGGTGAAAATGACACTGGACTCTGCTACAATTCAAAGATGAAATATTTTGAAAAAGCTGAACTTAGCAAAAGCAAGGAAATCTCATGCCCTGAAATAGAGGACTTTTTGTTTCCGTTTAGGGAGCCTGAGATTCTGTGGTACAAGGTAAGGAATGCAAAAAGTTTTTGCCTTCAACAATATACTGTCAATATTCTAATGATTTTCATGATCTAAATACTATGTGAAACTTTCACTGTTTTAGACATTCTTAAGAACAGGTAGAATCAAAGATACAAAAAAATGAGCTAGTTCCTCTTAGATGAAGAGGGACTCAGCTGCTTCCTTTGCTACATTTTAGAGCTGCAAACAAGTATCTGGTAACAAAAGAGATAAAGAATAATAGTGTTATCGATCCAGTTTGGTTTGATATGTTAAGGTAAAGCCATATGAGCTGCATATACAGCAATTGCTTGTGCTGTATTAGAAGAAGCACTGAAGGGTATTTCTAGAAACTTCAACATAAAATCTGGTTAGAAAAATGGGAATTGAATAACTATGTGCACATTTATCTGAATTAATGACTTGATTTAGCAGCATAAAAACCAAAACTTTTAAAAATTTGATCTGATATGTTAGAGTTGACTTGGAATTACCAGAGATTTGGTAGTCGGTACCTTTATTTCAATATTGTGTTCTTATTATCAGATTGTTACTTAAGGGTCACATCCCAGGAAAGGTATTGCCTGTTGGTGGCTCACAAGAGCATTCCTGTGCAGTCTTTTGAGTTCTGGATTTCTTGCAGTTGGCAGGAAATGCTCAGTGCCTTTGTGCTATAATGCATACAATTTAACACCCCCAAACAGTTTAGTAAATCTGAAAATTAGTTTATGTATATTGTGTAGCAGGCTCTGTATAGTAGAATGGTACCACTATATGCTGATATGCATTCTAACTATGTTTTAAAAGTCTGATAATTCACTAAGTGTAGTGCACAAGCACGTGTTATCTAATAAACAAAAACTTGTAATCTAGAAAGTTTCTGTCTAAATTTACTAGCAGCATATCTAAGAGGTACGTAACCAACTATTTGCTTATATTCATCTTGAAGATTTATCAAATTTAAAACTGTATCTGGCTTCTAAAAAATATCTCAAAAGATATTCGATTTTTACAAGTCATTTACGGCACTTGTGTGAACAAGTTGTAACATACTTTGTGACTGTCCATTGATGAAAAACATCAGTTTGTTTTTCTGACAGCTTACAGATGTATTGCTTATCAATAAATAAATAAATAAATAAATTTTAAAAAAGACCTAGAGACAGAAGAAAACAAAATTCCAAGAAGTTATTTTGATTATCACCTAAATTAATGAGGTGAAAATAAGTTAATCGCTTCAAGGAGTCAAAAAACATGTATGAAAAATGCCACTAATTTGACACAAAAGGCTACTAAAAGTTGGAATACCAATTTTTTGTTTGTTTGTTTTAGTTATGAAACTTACTAAGATTCTAAGTTGTTTACAGAAAGAGGTATCTAATCTATCTTCATTCCTCCTTATTCTCATCTTCTCCTTTTCTACTTTTTTATTCTCATTTTGTTTAAATAAAAAGAGAATTTTTTCTTTGCAATCGGTAGCTACTTGTGATATAATGGTCATGGATTACATACATAAATGTAATGGCAAATAATTAAATGAAATCGGAGAGCCCCGATCAAAAATAAAATCAAAACTATGAAATAAATAAAATCCTTTTCTTTTTCTCATCAGAATGAGAAAAATATGTTAGTTGATAAAATTTTACAGTATTTTTTTCTTTTAAATTTTTACTTAACTGAACTGTATTTTGAGATATTTAATGTACATAAAGTTCATAACTACCTCTTGTCTGGTCTTCCTTTCTTTGAGCAGCATTATCAACAGTGGCTCGAGTGTAAGAACATAGTCACTGATTTGTTATGTTATCTTTAAACAGGAATGCAAGTCAAAGACATGGAGGTCAAGTATTGGGTTTATAAAGGACACTCTTGTCATTCGGGAAGTTAGAGAGGATGACATTGGAAATTACACTTGTGAGGTAAAATATGGCATCTTTGTTGTCAGAAGAACTACGGAATTAACAGTTACAGGTAATCACAGGCTCTTACTACATCTTATGTGTAGAAAAAAAAAAATGTTTAATTAAACAAACCTAACTATTCTGAGATTCTGTAACTTGAATTGTGTGTATTTGAATCATTCTACCTACATAAGCCACTCTTGTTCAAAACTTTGCTGAGTGTGTGAATGGTTGATACATCAAAGTTGTCCTGAACACAGTAGTATGTGCAACTGGATGAAATCTGAGTTTTGATCTACTGCAAAAGCTTCTGAATAGGTCATGTTTTTGAGTGGGAAATGTGGATAAGGAACAGGTAATTTCAGGAAGCGCTACCTCTTAACCAAAAAATAAGATCATTAAATTCATCATACTTTTCCTTGTGGTTAAATGCCTTAGCACATGAGAATCTCTGTAGAAACCCAACTACAGCAGCTCTGATTGCCTTGGGGCATGAGGTGAACTGTAGTTGTAAACCAATATCCCAGAAAGATCTGTGCAGCAAGGTAGTATAAATGTGGGTGTAGTGTTCAAATAGTAGCATTTTTTCACTGGTATTCTTTCCCAGCTTTCTATGATTTATAATTCAAGAACTTTCTGATCTCAGTTGTTAATTAACTTATTTTCCATTAGTCCAGTTATTTTTTTTTTAATTATTTATTCTCAGCTTTAAAATTATTATGAGCTATCAAGTTCCAGTGTAATTATGTAACGTAAATAAATTGTATCAACTCACAAGCAGCAACTGAATAAAATGCATTTAATATTATCCCCATTTAAGACTACCCTACCAATATGTAAAATCCTTCATAGCTGAAAACATGTATCATAGTAGTAATGTGCACTACAGAAATATATGAAGATAGAAGCTACAGAATTATATGAAGAACATTAGGTTTTAAATTCCTCACTACATCGCAAACCTCAGGTTTTCAAACACAGAAGGAGTATAGCTGTATTTTTATGTAAGGTAGAGAATTAACCTCTAGAATTATGGGATGGTATTGGAAGACAGGAAAAGATTGTGATCGATACAGCATAGTGAAGTTCTATAGAATCTTCCCTGAAAAGAAGGGCAGAAAATGTATATCCCTGGGAAACTGAATGTGAAATAAATTTGTGTGGTTCACAAAGATGCTTGCAGATGTAAGCACTTGCTTGAAGTATAAACAAAAACAAAAACAAAAAAGCAGGAAACAAATCTTAGAGAAGGATTTTGTGGGCTATTCTTGACTATTTAAATAAATAAAATTGTTCTGTGTGCTGACAATTAGTAACCACGGTTATGTTATGTAACAGTTTATTTGTATGGTAAAAAATTTGCTTTTGTGGTGAAAAGTTTGCTTTCTGTTTTGATGTATCCATTTACTCTACATTATCAGAAATTAAAGTGAATTACAGTTTGCAATTTTCTTCCATTAGATCAGTCTGGAAATCATATTGTTTATGTTGTTTTGAGAGAATTGTGGTGATCAATCATGTTTATTTAAGTTCAGTATCAGGATCTCTTCATAATTTTTCCATTGTATGGAATTGATTTATTTGGTCAGTACAGACAGGTAATTACTGTTTAGTGATTAAGCTCATGGTAAACATCCATAACCATATAGAGTCCTCAAGAATTTGATTTACACCAGAATGAGGTTGTCAATTACCTTCTGCAATATATGAAGTATAGACTAAAGGAGTACATATTTCTTCAGTCCTCAAGTTACCCTTCTGTCTCTGCAATTGGTGCTCTACTGCCCAGCAGTATTTCAAGCAGACTTAAGACTGAGAGAATGGAGAAAGAAAAAAGCATTGCAACTAGGTGTTGCTATCTGTAGTAATAGTTTCAGAAAAATAATTCAGCCTTTGTGGTGTAGGTAGGAGTTCAGTGATAAATGTTTAACTAGATAGAGACAGAAGGAGACTTGGCTGATTTTAATGTGTTAAAAAACAAGTGAGTGCATAATGAGAGAATTATATGGTTTCCATCATGCAAATCCTGGCAAATTCAAAGACAACCTCCACACGAGCAAACTACTCAAATAGCACTGTAGTTCTTCATGCCATTTTTATAATATTATGGGATGAACTGTACAGTATGTTTTCCTCTGTGCAGATTTAGTAGCTATGTTTTGATAAGAGCTTTATAGGAAGAGATTCAGGTCCTACATGCTTGCCTTATGCTTTGTCTCTGTGCTGAAATACAATTTGAATCGCATTGGAAATACATTGAGAAGTGTACAGAATAAATGGATTTCAAGATTTATTAAAGAAAGAAAAAAACTTGTTAATGGCAGCAATGTTGCACTCACATTATAAATAACACACAGTATCTTCAAACATTGCATATTTGTTCCTTACCAAGAGTAAGTATACAGTTAAATTCCATTCCAAAATATGATTTCTTCTTATAATATGCATCTTTCAGATTTTTGTTGTTGTTCTTTTTTGTTTGTTTGTTTGTTTTAGGATAAACCCTTTTTCTTCGCTTTTCATTCAGAATCTCATATTGAAAATACATGATCATTTATATGATTTAAATTAATTTTCTTATTATGCTACTATCTGACTTAGAAAATATCTGGTTTAAAAAATACAAACTACGCACTGATTATTCTAGCTGGTAGCTAAATTCAAAGAACCAACATAATTGGTGGTTCTTGGATTATGGCTATGTAATTACATACTTTAAGAAGTTCTAAATGCACTAAAACATTTGTTGATATCTATACCTGCAGACTGCCCAACATTACCAATTTTTTTCTTTTATATGTGGAATTTTAATTAAAGCATACCTGACATTCTCAATTATGGGACAGGATCACATTTTAACAGCATGATATCAGTATTAATTTAGTCACACTAAACAACATAGGTAAAAATAATTTCCAACAGTGATTAATTTTCATTAAATGCTATGTCTAATAATATTGGGGTTTTTTTTTGTTACTTATACTGCTAAAACCTTCACAAGGATAAAATTTTGGTAGATTTTCATTCAGGTCAATTTTTTTCATTCTGGTCTGGTGTTTGTTTAAGAGTGTATATGTCCATACTGCAATATCACACAGTGGTACTCTTCTGGATGAATATGATAAAGCATACTGACCCCATCAGCCTTACTTATTCAATTCATCCATAACTTTTTTGGTTATAAATATTTGAACTTTTTTTTTTCTTTTTCATTCTGTTAGAAGTTAGTTGTTCTTATACCTTTTAGAAGTGTTCAGAGCTAATCAGTAGGTTCCTGTTCAGAGATACCACTTACTATCTTTGCTCATTGATTGCTCTTCTTCAACATATCTCCTTCTGGAATGAGCACAAATTTAGATTTAGAGGTTAGAGCATCTTCAAAATCTAATAACACTAAATTTAGTATGAGTTGATATGATCATTTTTTATTATTTAGATTTAGCCTATTTGGTTTAAATATTTTGCTAACAACTTTGCAAATGCTAGTTAATTCTTTCCCATTTGCTACTGGTAACTTTCTTCTCTAGACTTTTAGACAAAGGAGTGCTATCGGTCTGCTTCATAGGATTTCTTAATGTTTGGGATTCGTTGCACAAGCAACGAAAGCCTTTTTTGCTTTCTGACAGAATTATTCTTTGTTAGCATAGTAGAAAATCTTAAATGACGATAAATGTTTATCGCAAAATGCTTGCATTGATTGTTTCCAGTGCTGTTGCGCTTTCTCCTTCAAAACATTCAGGTACAGAAAAGGTGCGGTAATAAGCCTTTGCTTCTTTATTTCTAGCTGGTGCTAAGTGCAAAGAGTATTACAGAACTAACAGGATTGTTTTCCAAGCATTAGAGCTTGAGAACAGACTCTGCTGGGTTTCTGCAGTTAATAATAGGGACGAACCATTTTGGATGCACTGAGCCCCTCTTTGCTAGAGCTGATCCTAATAATTATCGGAGCTGATGTTCATTTCTTTTGTTCATCATAAATATAATTCAACTCTAGAACATATTCAGGGTGAAATTCTATTTACCAGTATTATTCTGTGCAAAGACTATATAAAATATAAAGCAAACAATAGATTCATTATGAAAGCATCATGTTTGAAACACTGACCAAGCATTTTTATAATACATAAAATCCTGTAGGCTTAACAAATTGGGTGGGTTAGGTGTCGGGTTTTTTAATTAGAAATGAGTGATCTTCTTTTATAGTGAAATCATTTTTATGTGGCTGAAAACAAGGTTCTAAATTAATCACCTGGGTGCATTTGAGTAATAACAATCAGAATATTTGATTAAAACATTCTCCATAAACGTTCATTTAAGTTATTGATTATAAATGGGTTTAGTGGGTATTTCAAAACCATCCTTAACTGACAACAGCAACAAGAAAAGCTATATGGGTAAAGCTAATTCATGCATAATACACCTTCTATAGCATTTTTCATTATTGCTATGTTTTTCAACTTTTTATAAAAATAAAAAAAATCCTTCAGGATATGGCTAGTATTGCTAACTCTCCTTATACAAATACATTTTAATGTGTATTTCCCTTACTATAACCCAAGACTTCTTCTCTGTCTGGTAGAGTATCTTCAGAAGAAGAGAAAAGATCAACCTCTTGTGGCTTTTTTATTTATTTTTGATGATATAGAAATAGGTCAGTAGCTATAAAATTCTAATATATAGTAGAAATCTTTGTCTTTAGCACATTAAAGTAAGATTCAGCCTTAAAATGCTCATTTTAACCACTCTTGTTATTATGCATTATGATCCTGTGTTTATCTGATAGTGTTAATGAATAGAAAACATACCTAGGCTTTGTAATATTTGCATAGACAGTTGCTACGACACTATTTAATTGATGCTGCAGTCATGACTTCTGTTCCGTCACAGTCATGTACACCCTATTGAAAATATGTCAGTGAAAGTTGAGAGTTTTTAGCAAGCATTCATTGATAAATTCTTCTTATTTTCTTATTCTTATTTGATGATGAAAACAAACAATTTGTTGAAATTAGCTACTATTTAACAAGTATAAGTATAGTGTCTTCCTGTGTATAGTATTGCTAAAATGAT